CGCTTTTTAAGTTACCACCCATCACCCATTAACCACCCACCACCCATTAAAGGGATTTCATCTCCTGAGTTGCCAACCTGGTTAGGTCCAAAGTGGCTCTCCTGAGGGTCTCAAAGTTTTCCACGGTGGTTGCGAAAACAAAAAGTAACTGTTGCTTTAAAAACCTCAATATTTCAACACTGACTCTGATACCTTTTTGTTTACCGGGGGAAATTCTAGGAAGGGACCACGTGGAAGTCCAGGAGCCGCAAGGTCTTAACAAAGCACTTTGTTAAGAAGCTTACTTTGCAAGGCTATAGGAACAGCACTCGAGATTTCCATCTGAAAAAAGCAAGGCGGGTAGAAATCCCCAGCGAGCGCGCCCAGCACATTTGCACCTGGATTCCTGCGACATTGTCAGTCAAATCCCCACCCCAGGCCCCCAGCTAATCCCCCCACCTCCACCCCGGTTACAAAGCAGCGAGACTGTTACAGATCGCGGGAAAAGTAAAAGTATATTCTAAAAGGAAGGACCAATGATCCCGTAAAGCCCTGCTGTCTTCTCATCAGAAAGATCTGAACCTTATTTTACCTGTTGCATTGTGAATAAAGACCTTTTTTTTAAACCGCCCCCCCAAAATAAACACCCAGCGTTCCGTTTAAACTTTCAAACTCCAGAAACACTTTCAAGTTCATCATTGCAATTACAGTCTCATGGCAAAGGTACATTTACATAAAGACACTTAAAAACTAGAGAGGAGTTTTACTTGTAGGAAAAAGAAACGAGTAGGTAGAAATTTCCAAAAACACACAAAACAGCAAACTTACTCTTTCTCTTAAAAGAAGTGAAGCAGGCACGCCAGCTGATGGAACTCCTTAGAGGGCGAAGTAAAATGAAAAGGCAGGTCCAGGCACTCAGACCTGCCTGTACTTAAAAGTTTTAAAAGTCAGTCTAGCTGCTCCTCGGTCCTTTCCTCACTCCTTCCCCCTAATGAAAGAAAAGTGCTGGTACCTCGTAAAAGCTTTTTTCTAACTTGGAGCACAGAGCTTTTAAAAGTTTCAAGCCACTGACACAAGAGAGGAGGGGCTAGCAGGGAGGAGCGGGAAGAGGAAAGGCGGGGAGAAGGGAGGGAGGGGAGCAGGCCCGCGGGGAGGGGAGGGGGGAGGAGGACGGGGGGAGTAGCCAGGTCCAGTTAATCAAGTTGTAGTTTAAACTTGCTGATGAGAGGTATGAAAGCGTGCGCGACGTGAGTGCTGCTACTTGTTACTCTTTACAGATAGCAATTACTGGTTTTAGTTAGTGCTTGTTTTACCAAAAGTCCGGGGATCATAAAAAGTTGTATATTTTATACTACTACAAACTTTTCTAAAGTAAAAAAATATATATATATATGTATATATGTATATTAAGTAAATAAAAATGATGGAAAAGAATATAGCAATACAGATTTGTTTCACACTGGCCAAGGTGTGTGACGTTAAAGGTAGGTGTGAGTTATTTGATCATCTAAGTCCTTTTCTCTGATTTTAACTAGGGACGATTAGCAAAGGAAATGGAGGGGATGGGAGAGAGGAAGGAGAGAGAAAGTGGACAAAGGCGGTGGTGTTCCCACCCCAAAGCCACCTTCCAACCCCTGGACTGCTGTGAATTTTTACTCTTTCCTTGTATGTATAACTTTATACATAATCTATTTTGATCTGATATACCTCTATCGGATCTCCAGGGAACTGAAAGTTTAAACTATCCCAGTCCCACTCATGCCAATGCACTAGACACCGAATCTGCTTTGTGGTGAAATGTCAGATCGTTTTGATGAAATCCTGATGTGGTAAGTTGGCATTAAGTGGGTCCCAGAACCATCAAACCTTGAGACCCTCACCTCTAGCGCCTGCTGGAGACGGCTCCGCCCAGTGACAGTGGAGCTGAGCAGATCATTTTTAGCCCCTTTCCACTGTTTCCATGTCTCTTCCTGGTCAGCATCTTGTGTTAGGGTGTCCTGAGTCATGTGGCCTCTTTCTTAGAGTGGGCAGCCCCTCTGAGGACTCCCCAGACACCACACCCAAGGGCAGTCTTAGGACAACTCCCCATAAACAGGCTTCGGTGATGCTCCCCAGGATGGGCAGGGAAATCTCTGGCTATTATTCTTGGAAAGAAAGCAAATTCACCCAGGCCGACTATTCCTTATCCTTTTCTCGCTGATACAAATATCAGGAAAAAGGAGCAGGGCAAATATTTTCTGGGAGATACCTTTCTCTAGATATAATTTCACTGAAATGATTAATAAAACAGCTTTAGGAATGTTACAGTTTTACTACATGAGTTTGCTCTCTCCTGTGTTGGCTACCCTGTTCTCAAGATTATTTTCTCTTTAAGTTAGGGTAGAAAAAAAGAAGTAGAAATTGTAACCTGACTTTCAAGTTCAGTAACCCATAAGTATCATTTTGATCTTGTATTTATATAGTTTACTTTCAAATGTTTTGTCCTAACTAAAAATTATTTCATTTGATTCAGAATACAGCTCATGAAAATATGATTTATTCTTTTTATTATAAGAAAACTTGCTTCTCCCTTTCTTTTTTTAAAAAGAACTCTATGCTTCATTTAATTTACGTAATTACTTGGTATATTTTTGTAAAATTATTCAAGTACAATTATTACTGAAATTACCGATTTTATTAAAAGGGTCTCCTAAAATATGAATTCAGAATTAGTTGCACGAAAGAAAAGTTGCAGTTGACTATTATATAGCAGGGTTATTAAAGCAAAAAATTGTGTTTATTTCCAGTTATGTTTTGTTAGGTCTATAAAGGGACTTTGATATCTAAGGATTTCTTTTTAGTCTATTGCTTGTGTGACAAACTGGAAATAAAACCTAAGAACTTCTTTATACCAAATTAAGTTACTCATGGATATCACCTGAGCCATCTCCTCAGCTAAGTCATAGCACGAGCCACTAATTGCATAGTTCTCTTAACATGTACGATGTACTTACTGTATCTTACATTTCTAAAATGATTTTCCCACGATCTTTCGTAAGAGATGACGACATTCAAGTGATTTTCTCTCCTTTTGTAAAAATGGCACCCAAATGTGGCCCAATGAATAAAAATGCTCAAGAGAAACAGGGTTTCTGTGAATGGCTCCCCTGCTGGAACATTAACAGCAGTTTTCTCTCATGGACGCTTAGCAGCTTCTCCATATGCCGGGTAGTAACTCCAATTAGACCTCATACGCTAGCATCAAGGCCATTTCATTACCATCAACACTGACTTCCCCAAACTGTATCATCTCTGATTGGCAAGCCTGTCCGTGCAGAAGAAAAGGATGCAGCCGGATTTGCTAGTCAGGCAGCCCTGCTCCAGGGGGATGAGGGACAGTCACTTACAGTTCGTCATCTGCAGGGTTTCATTATCATGGCCCTGGCCAGGCCTTGGACTCTTACTCATGTCGCTGTGTGTCTTGAGGAGTGCGCATTGTTGGCACAGTGGAGCGTGGGCTCTATTTCAGAATTGTGAAAAGTATTTCTTAATCTGAGAACCAGCTGCATTTTTGAAGTTTTACCTGTGTTTCCGAATATCAATTTCTGAAATTATAAGAGATGGATGGATTAAATTTTAAAGACTTTCAATTCCTATCGCACACAAATTCTGGTGAATCACTCTCACTTTGATGAGTAGCGTAAATATTCAAAAATATTTGGGGGCTATAGATCGGAGATAATTAAGGAGAACATGGTAATGACTGTGGACAAAAAAGGGGTGCTATAATAAATCATGAATTTCTAACCGGGCAGGCATATAACTTTAGTAAAAGGTTTATCTTTTCCTTAAGCCCTGTCTGTTGTTTCTTGTATCTAGATTAATACACCTCTTTAATCACCCTATCAGACTCCTTCTTCTAAAATGTAATTTCCCTCCAAGAGCAAATCATCTGAACTACCCTATAATCCAATCCCCACCTTCCGATCTCCCACCTCCTTGTAATCTTTCTATGTCTCTTCCTTAATTTCAAATTCGTAGAAGAAACTATAAAACTGTTAGGGTGGTTAAGGGACTGGGTGAAAAGGTGAAGGGATTAAGAAGTACAACTTAGTAGTTGGGAAATAGTCACGGGGTTATAAATTACAGCGTAGGAAACACAGTCAATAATATTGTAATTAAAAAGAAAGGAAAAGAAATAATTATGCTGTAATACTATGTATGGTGTCAAGTGGGTACTGGAATATCAGGGAAGCACTTTGTGAAGTATATGATCATCTGACCACTATGCTACACAACTGAAACTAATACGAAACAATATTGAATGTAAATTGTAATTTTTTAAAAAAAACCTACACAGAAAACTTTAAAAAAACAAAAACTATTATTCTCTGGAGCATTTGAGATCTTGCTCCCAGGATATGTCATCAATTTGGCTTAGATAAACTTTTGTTAAAATTCTGTATAGATTTGGATGTTTCCTACACCGACATGGTAGAGGAGTGAGTTATAAGAACCCAAACTGGGGTCGTAGGAGTAAAAAAGGAGAGGAAGATAGAATTATCAGAAACTGATGGCAGATTGAGTGAGGAGGACACGGGAAAGAGGTGTGGAAGCTGATCTTGGAGTTTTGATTAGGAAAAAGTTACTACACCAAAAAGGAAGTCCAGAGGAAGAACTGATTGGCTGAGATTTAACGATTTCAATTTGGAATATTTTGGTCTGAAGAACTGAAATAGCTAGGTAAAGATATCTGACTGGCAATGTAAAAAAAGGACTGTGGGGTTTAGATTAAAATTGTTATTTCAGATTATGCTCATAGAATTGATATTTGAAACCACAGGTACAGATGAGATTACTAAGAGAGGCTGAAGCAGTATGCAAAAAAACCCCCACAAAACACACAAAAAATACACACACACACACACACAGACACACACACACACAACCAGTGCACAGCTTGGTATTTTCTCTCAATGCAAGTG